AATCCAGAAGTCTATCAAGGAAGTTCCCAGAATAACATCTAAGGCATGGCAGGTCACTCTCACCTTGGCTGATGTGATAGTCCATGACTGAACTATTAGAAAAGGACAGGACAAGAATGGTTTTCATGGAAGAAAAGCAAAGAGAAAACCACTGTGCTCCAAAAAGAACACTGCTGCTTATCTGAAAGTCAGCAAAGAGCAAGTACATGATCCACAGGGCTTCTGCAACAATGGTCTCTGGACAGAGGAGTCAAAGGTACAACTCTCCAGCCTCAATGAGAAAGGTTATGTGAGGCGAAAACCAGGCACTGCTTTCGAATGAAGAACTTCATCCCAATGATCAAGCATGGTAGTGGCAGTGTGATAGTTCATGGCTGCCTTGTTGCTTCAAGGCCTTGACAGCTTGCCATCATTGACACAACCATGAACTCTGCAATGTATCAGAAGATTCTAGAGGAGAACTCAGGCCATCCGTCTGCGACCTGAAGCTGAACCGAAAGTGAGCCTTTCAGCAAGACAATGATCCTAAACATGCAGGCAGATCTACAAAAGAACAGCTGCAGAAGAAGAAATTCCACGTTTTATAACAGCCTAGTCAAAGTCTGGATCTAAATCCCAATGAAATGTTGTGGCAGGACCTGCAGTGAGCTGTCCACGCAAGACAGCTGTCAAATGTCACAGAGCTGAAGGAGGTCTGTAAGGAGGCAAGGGCCACAGTTCCTCAACACCGATGTGAGAAACTAAACATTTCCTGTAACCGTTGATCAGTTACAGTCCTTACTGCTCAGGAGGGTGCCACCAGTTACTGATTCTAAAGGTTCATATGCTTTGTCACACATGGATATTGAATCCTCCATCACCTGATGGATAAATAAATGTTGAAGAACATCAATGTTTTGTGTCATTTTTTTCATCAGGATAACTTTATCATTAGGACATTCTGGGTTTCAAATATGTGAAATCTGTGATAACATACATTTTGCAAACAGTTTCACCAACACTGTAAACACAAAAATGGGAATATATATGTTATGTATTAATACTCCCATATGTAGAAAATTCTGAACACATGCAGGAAACTTTGAACAAAAACAAAAAATTTAGCAACTTGGTCTGACAATATGATCCCACCATGATCTATAGCAACCTGGTGTCAAGCAGAGAATGCAGTTTTGTGCGACATCATCTGAGAATTAAAACACACTGCTCAGTCAAGAAGGTCAACAAGGCGCTCTGCAGAGTGTGTCTGTTCCTACATCTGGCCCAGATTACACCAAAGTGGGAGAGTTTGATAAATTGGGAGGTGACACATATTCCAAGGGATGTGCGTTAAAGAAAAAGATGAAAAAGGATTAATAAACAAGCATTTCTCTGATGAGAAAAGTAAAGAAATTGCAGTGTACAACGCTTGCTTCAATAAAATCTGTCTGCAACGTACAGTAGCTGATTGTACAGTATCCACATTATTTTTGACACTTCTCTTTTTACTAGTCCCACTATTACATATTGAAACAATTTATATATTTATTTCTGGTGGGTAGCTGCGTTAGCATGCGCAGGCTGCAAAGGAACAAGTAATAGGTTAATGCCAGCATGCCAGCAGCCATATCACCCTGCAACTCACAAATGGCAGCCCACTGAAGGTCAGCAGGTGTGAACCTGGCCAGTACCTGGATGGGAGACCTCCTGGGAAAAACTGAGATTGCTGCTGGAAGAGGTGTTAGTGGGGCCAGCAGGGGGCGCTCACCATGCAGTCTATGTGGGTCCTAATGCCCCAGTATAGTGACGGGGACACTATACTGTAAACAGGCGCCGACCTTTGGATGAGACGTAAATTTGAGGTCCTGGCTTTCTGTGGTCATTAAAAATCCCAGCTTCTCGTAAAAGAGTAGGGGTGTAACCCTGGCATCTTGGTCAAATTTCCCATTAGCCCTCACCAATCATGGCCTCCTAATATTCCTCATCTCTGAATTGGCTTCATTACTCGGCTCTCCTCCCCACTGATAGCTGATGTGTGGTGAGCGTTCTGGCGCACTATGGCTGCCGTCGCATCATCCAGGGGGGGCTGCACATTGGTGGTGGTGGAGGGGAGTCCCCATTACCTGTAAAGCGCTTTGAGTGGAGTGTCCAGAAAAGCGCTATATAAGTGTAAGCAATTATTATTATTATTATTATTAATGCCATGCTGAATATGAAGAAAGGAAACGCAACGTTTCGGCTGTGAAGCCTTCTTCGGGTACAAGAAAGATAAGGGAGTCAGCCCTTTCTTACACACGCAGAAGGCTCCACAGCCGAAACGTTGCGTTTTCTTTCTTCCAATTCTAATATCTAATCAACTATATTCGGTTCACATGATTCAAAATAAACCTTTTAATTGCACTGTGTTGTAAGGCTGGTAAAACTACAAACTAACTTTCTGCAGGTCCCCACTGCCTCACTGTGGTCATATGAGCTAGCAGACGTAGGAACAACACTGGATTCTCGCAGAAACAAATGCTTACTGTATTCTGTCAGAGGACAGTTTCTCTGATCTCTCTCTTTTCAATTCAAAAGGGTTTAAACACATGCTGTGGATTAGGTCCAGTAACTTAATGACTTCTTAATCTAGTTCCAAAATATTTATTAATAAAACTAAAAAGAAGAAAAAAAAAAACTCAACTTAACCACTAAGACAGGGTTTCCACAGTCACAATACTTATATTTTTGAAGGCAGTGTTCAAACTTTGTATTTTATTTTTTTTACAGTTTTTTTGGGGGGGTTTCTTTTACTAGATTTGAACTTGGGGGAAAAAAAATAAAACAGTTTATGCGAGAGCAGAACACCGGTAAAATAATGTTCCTCCTGCTGACAGGAAATTTGCTGTGTACCAGTAAAGCATAAACTGTACAGTATTTGCAAGCATAAGCATGGGATATTTAGAAAGAAAATATGCTTAAAATGAGCATTCAAATGGTACTATATACAGTATAAATGTATATTGCTGCTTTTAAGATGTCACAGGAATAAAGGGACATTTATGAATCCTTTACGATTGAGTAATAAGAAGAAACACAGGCAGCCTGCACTGTGGCAAAACACCACTCTTATTTCCAGCTGAGTGTTGCCCTGCATATTTTCACAACTTATCACTGTTTACATTTCCACCATATTTACAGAAACTACAACAGTCTCCCATCCAGCTATTATTTAATAACAAGTTGGATGGTGAGACTGGCCTTGGATAGCATTAAACCTTGATTCCACCAGCAGGCAGGATTGAGAAAAAAAAAGATGCATCCTGTAGAATAAGCCTGCTAAAAAAAAGTGCCACTAGAGGGGAAAAAAAAATTCCAGGCTTTAAATATGGTTACATTTGATTCATCAGCTTGACACAAATCAGCCTTGTGTTTGATACATGAGCATTATGTTCAACAGTTTGTTTCTTCCTACCAGTCACTACACAAGCTCAATATAATCCAGGTCAAAATTCCTGTTTTAAATACTTTTTTGTACTAGTCCAAAGCACAGAAAAAAAAATGTCTCTGTATTGTTTAACCCTCCATAATTTCAGCTACATTTCAATGGTGTAAATTACTCAGTTGAATATGCCCAGCTGCCGGATACCCTTCTAGTTTTTAAAGCAGCTTTTATTTGATAATCAAAAACAAGAGATCTGCGACTGCTCACATGTTTTATTTGGAATACTCTCCATGCCAGTAATTGCTTCAAATGAGTGTAATAGTAATTGATGGTCTGGGTTAATACTTTGACTGCATGAATTTCCACAGCAGTTACGTAATCGCTGCCAAAAAACAGATCCAAGAGCTAATACATTTCTTTCAATCCAGCAGTTTTTCTTTTTTTAAAAAAAATTTAATAAATGAAGACCGGGAATGACTGATGTACCCACAGCATGTATGAGAGGAAAAAATAACGAAATAATTTAAGGCTGCGATGTCTTCAACCGGCTATCTCTGAAGACACAAGTCATGTTCGGTTTTTCAAAGCACGCTCAGCCAGAGACAGGGAATTGGAAGAAAGAGTAGATGGAGGAGGTGGTAACAGGATTTGATGAGCAGTCACCAGACTGCAGTGTGCTAGCACAAACACCTTCGCTGAACATATCCTTAAACTCGGCCATTCTGTGCCTTTCTCTGCAGCTGTTTTCATTCTCGAACTCGTGTCTCTGGAAAAGTTTGTTTTAATTCCCCCCTCACATTCTTAACCATCTCTTTACAGAAATGGAAATATTCGAAAAGAAATAAGCGAAACACTTCAGCAGATCAAAATGCAAAACGATTCCAAGAGAATTTAGCTTCAGCTCTCTGGACAATGTGTGTACTGTTCAGTAGCTTCACCATTCTTCAGAGCCGCAAATTCAATCTGCTGTTCTTTGACTGCTGGTCTAAGAACTTGTGAAATAGCAATAAGACGATAATCAATTTAATAAAAAGAATAACCTTCAAGTGTCAAAAAGGAGCTAGAGACCCTTTGTGCTTGATTAACTAAGGTATCGAACACATACAAATTATTTCAAAGACTAATGATCATTAATCTGGAACTCCATAATAGAAAAAAAAACTTGAAAAATGTCCTTTTCTACTTGGGAACAAAAACAAATTCAGAGAGAAAGTAAACTGGCCCAGCTACTTGCTGATTCTGTTGCACCCTTTGCTGTCATTGTGCTGCTGTAGGCAAGAGATCTTCCCTTTAACAGAGAACTCCCCAGTGTGAGTAGAAGGGTAGAACACCGAATCATCTGTCAGCGATCCCTCCACTTCATTGACAGCTTGTGCAAATCAAACCGATTTGCCGCACCTCGGTACCAAGCAGTGCCAAGACTTTTCCCGGCTTTTCCCGGCCAAGACTTTTCCCGGCAGTTTTGCGAAACCTGAGCCCTCACCCAGGTTTCCGTCCCGAAAAGGACCGGGAAGCCTGGATGGGGTCTCGGATTCGGGATGAAAGCACCAATGTTCCCGGACACCTGCGTGGAGACATGAGGCTACAGAGTTCACTGTACCTGTGTCATTTCCAGGTCCCGTCGATAGCGCTGGCATTGCTCCTGCCTGTGGAATATCACACAGGAATGTCAGAGTAACACTGTATAGCCAGAACGCAGCAATCAATTTCAGTTCAAGCACACTCGGCCAAGCTGTCTTCGGAAAGATTTATGCCATTGGTGAAAGCTCCCTAGAAAGAACAAAAACATATTTTAACAATATGAGACAACAGAGCTCCTACTGTAGACAGCGTGCAACAGTAGCTCTGCTGTTATGAAGTCCTCAGCCGTTGCAGATGGACGCTGCCTGGTCTGGGCACAGCTTTTCCTGGGTCCAGCAAACAACAGCCGACAAAATAAAGACGGTTTCAAATCTGTCAAAAACGAAAACAAGCAGGAATAGGAAGAAACATGACATGACAAATAAGGCAGTATTTACTGCACTGGCAAAAGATTGGCTGCTGTCTCATCTTTATTCTCCACTGCTCTTACCTCAAAAGACAGTAATAATGTTGATCACATAAAAACCTTTAAGAAAATATTTTGCAGCACCACACACCTATAAAAATGAGGCACACGAAACATTCAATACAGAAAGGCACATATTAAACTACACACGGTATCCAAAATCGGATAAAATTCCGTCTCATCATTACTAGGTTTTAGAATATGTCTGAACAGAGCAATGGCTGCAGGAAGGTTGTACAGCAGTCCTGGAGTGACGCCACAGAACACTCTGTGCCCCATCAAACAGATCCCAGATTACAGAACCCACAAGAGTCCACAGCTCGTAAATCCCAATTTGTATGCCTGTCAAAAACAACAGAGCAAGTTTTCAAACAGTATAGGTAGCCAAATCTTTTAGGCAAAAGAATTTCAAAATCAGTCCTCAAATTAACTGGTAACAGGAGAGTGGTGCCAGGGCAGGTATTATGTGTACATGCAGTATGATTTAAGTTAAAACCCAAGCAGCCAAGTTCTGTATATGCTGCAGCCTGTTAAGTACATTTACAAGCGTACTGGCAACTATAGCTTGAAATAATCTATTCTTGATGACAGAAGAGCATGAACTAAATTCTCAGTGTCTGTCTCAGAGAAAGAGGAACTAAGTCGGATATATAGTGTAAATGGGCAAAATACACCCCAGTGATATAGCAAAAATACACAATATGAGCATCACCTTAAAACAGAGACTCTTTAACGGCATATGGGGAGGAGGAAATGAAAGAGGCCCCAAAACAGAATCCTGGGGGACACCAGAAAACTGGTAAGAAGGTAACTCAACACTAATTGGATGTGTAGTAGACTATTATATCAAGATATCCATGATAAAACTATTCAAGCAGAGAACAATGCAAGAAATAGCTAAGTATTTCTCCAGGGAACTTAAAAGGATGTTATGCTTTATCTTGTTCTAGCTCTGAGGGCTAACAGCAAAGGCTGTTTCTGCATTGTGCAAGGATCTAAAGCCTAATTCAAAAGATGCAACAAGCTCATTAGTAAAAAAAAAATGGACAACTGAAGGGACCTCAACAATTATAAAAGAATTTCAATTTTTCTAACAAAACATAAAGGACACTGGTGTTAATGATAGTAGACATGGAGACTAAAAGAGCAGAAGAGAGCAAAAGAGAAGGAATGGGATCAACTGAATGCATGTTTTTACCAGCTCCTATGGTGAATGGAGTGTGTGGAGTTATAAATTATTGGATATAAGAAAATATTTTTATCAAAAAAAGTTATAAATTAATCATCATAAAGCCAATACTAAAAATACCTTGTTGAATGAGAAATAAGTGTCTAAACATTCCTGCATCACAGCCATTCCTACAATGCATGAAACAGGGATCCCATATTATCTTCTAAATCATCATGCAAGTCTCCACGGAGCTCAGTGTTCACAAAGTTACACGAGATGAGTATTACCGTCCCCATACGGCAAATAGATGTGTTCAACGCTATAAATCTACGTGTAGAAAGAATGGGTTTAGGGGTATTTTCTAATAATACTCTTGTGTTCAAATCTCCTATTCAGCTCATGATTTAGCTCAATCTCAAAACACCAGAGCCTGGTTTAGTAACGGTGTTAACCCCAGTGTCCTGGCCATATTTCCCCCTGGCCTTTACCAATCATGGCCTACTAATAATCCCCATCCCTGAACTGGCTTCATCACTCTGTTCTCCACCCCACTGAGAGCTGGTGTGTGTGAGCAGACTGGAGCATCATCCAGATGGGGGCTGCACACTGGTGGTGGTGGGGATCCGCTGTATCTGTAAAGCGCTGAGTGGAGTGTCCAGAAAGTGATATATAAGTGTAAGATTTTTTTTTTATCAGGCCCACTCTGCACGACTAAAATGACCCCCTCCCCCCCCCCCATGTTGAGCCACTCAGGAGCCCCAGAGCAGTTTGCAGTTTAAAGAGGCACGGAAAACCGGCAGACTTGCAGACCTCCAGCAGACCTGGAGATGAGAACCCCTGGCCTGCTGCATTTGGATACAAATAATTTTCCAGCAATTCCACAAATTTCACAAGAAGAGAAAGCAAAAAAAAACCTGAAAAGATTTAGTTATTTGGATGATGTCTTCATCCAAGCAGCGTTAAATAAGAAGCATCTATCCCTTGAAAAGCAATTATGCTGGGTGCTGGAAAAGACTGGGAATGCATGGGCTTTTCACTGACTTTTCACCTCTGTATTTCAGCCAAACCCCGCAGGTGGTGCTACTGTATTGTGTGGCTGGATGATGACTGCAGTCCTACCACAGTCCAGAGAGGCCCGGCGCCGCCTCTGTGTCACAGTGAGGCCTTCGTCCACACAGGAGAACGCAACTTTAAACAACTTAACACAGTATTTCACAACGAATAAGCTAAATTCAAATAATATTTTTGGGTATTATCCTTCTCCTCTAATGCCTGTGTTCATAGACAACACCACTTCACCACTCATTTTCTGATCCGTTTTTAGCCAGGCCCTTACGAAGCGTCCAAACAGCTGAACTCCCAAACAACAACTGGGAACTGACAGTTCACAGCCAGTTTCGTTACTGGGGGAATAGGAAAAAAAAAGCAAGCTCCCCATTTCTTCAAACATCCCCACATTTCACTGACTAGCTTTAAACCACTTGACAACCCTGGCAAGACATTTCAGTTTTGTGTGGAAAGGGGAACATGCGTACCGCGGGAAAGCCAGAACAATGTCAAAAGGACGACAAAAGCAGCAAAATTCGTCAAGAGTGGAGACCTCTGAATAGCGCATTTCACATTCCGAGTTTTCCACTCGTCCGATCGCCAGCGAATTTTGATGCGGTGAGCCTGTTTCGCTTCCGGATAGCGTGTGACGGACAGGGAATCAAGATTGGAAACAGGTAACGGTTTATTCCATGCTGAAAGGAAAAGAAGAGATGCAATTTCAGATGTCGAAACATTGCGTCTCTTTTCTTTTCCTTTCAGCATGAAATAAACCATTACATGTTCCTTCGCGGCCTATGTATGCCGAATGCAGCTCCCTACTGGGAATCAAGAAGCCTCAGACGAGCTTGACCAGCCCCCTTCTGCGACGGCCGCCAGGTGCTCAGTGCCAATCTCCCCTTCCTCGCCGCCGTTACCCCCTGCTTCTCCCGCCCCCGCTACCCAGACGCTGTCCGCGCCCCCCTCCCCTCTCCGCTACCCCTTCCTTCACCCCAGCGCATCCTCGTCAGGGTGCGTGGGGCCCCCGCCAAGACTCTCCCGTCCGTCAGCCGCGACTCCACTTCCAAGAAGGCTTCTCCACTGTAACGTCCAGGGTGCGGCCCGCCAGGAGGGCAGAGGCGTCTCCCAAGAGCCAGGGCAGTGAGAGGAGGAAAAGGCCGACATGCACCATCCAAGCCTTAGTCCAGAGTTTTATTTTTTACAGCGTAACTCATTGAAAATCAGCCAGATTTCTTTAAGGGCTGGGTATGGTATGGGTATGTTCCTCCCTCCCCCCCACCTTTTTTATGAACTGCCTTTGAATTCGACGCCAATGAAGAGTGATGAGCCGCAGAGGCTAGTCGTGCCTAGCAGGAACCACTCGTGTGAAACCTCACTTTCAGGGCTGTACAGGCATTCAAACACATTTTCTTGTTCACTTAAAGTACACGAAGGCACTTTAACAGGTGCCCCGTTTAAAGACAGCCTTACCAAATTTCTCAGTTGTAACCATCCTGGTAGGATTTGAAAAACACTTTATGTAACACTGTGTCATTTTGGAGACATGTATTTTCTTACCGTTAAGTAAGAAAAAAAAGAAAACCGTCTGTTCTGAAGAATGCTACTCCTTTGACAATAGATGAAGAGCACCTTAGAGGTAGCAGCAATACCACGACTTGTCTTGTCATGGAATAATTCCCACTCTGTGTACAAAGACGCGAAGCCCACAGCATACCAGATACGTCATGACACTTATTAAATACGGGAGGGAACTGCTGTATGATTATCTAATTCGGCAAGGTCTAAGACTAACTGCTTTTTCCAAACTAGCTCCTTTATTACCCATGACAAGACGCACCATGTAAATTATTTCAAGGGCTATGACACTAGGTGTGTAACTAATGGTTCCATCTGTTCATAGGTCACTATAAATTAGCCTACAGGAAACCGAGATCTTATTAGGGATTAGCTTCCTACAGTATTTATTGTGGAAGGCAGACTAAGAATAGGAGCTCACTAACCTATTTTAAGACAGTAATGGCTAACTGTGGTTCTTGAAATCCACTTCTTGTTTCCATTTCAAATTACCTTTACCCTATTTAATGAGGACGAATACAGTAATAATACAAAAACCTATTTGCATTTACACAGCACATTTAATTCCAAACTGCTTTACAAATAAGGGGTCCACTTTGTCCACCACTGAAGTGCAGCACCCATCTGAGTGACACACAACAGGCACTATATACCAGCAGCCCCACCCCACAGCAGAACAGGCCAAATCATGCTTCAATTGCCATAATCAAAGGAAAATTTAGGTCGGACAGATTGTAGTAGAGAGTGGAATTCTGCTAACGGTGTAATGATGTATTTAATAAGCTCATTAAAGAGGACAGTACTGACTTCAGGTGAGCTCTTGTCTCAAGACAGCAGCCTCCGAAAGCACACAGTTCCCAGTCGCCCTACAGGGGCAATGGTTTAGTAAACTGGGTTAATAAGGATGAGCGCCCACTACTGGTCCACTAA